TAGTCGAACTAGCTGGTTACATATAAATTGTACTGTAAAAACTGAAATAGTCCGACTACTTAACATCCCTATGTAGTAGTATATATGAAGAGATGACGATAAGAGATGTTAATATAATTTATATTGAATATAATACTAAAATTATTAATAATAATTTTAGTAATAAATAACGCAAAACTACAGTACATTTGATTTTTGTAATTAATATGTTAAATGTGATTTTAGCTTTAATAATATTAAACCGCAAAGTATTTTAATTAAATTGATATGAGGGGATCAGAACGCAGGATTAATATAGTAAGGATGCTTGAAATTACAATATACCGTGGCATCCTTCATAAATTAAACTAAGAAACTTGAAATTATAGTTTGTAAAGAATTCTTGAAAGTCAAAAACTTATATTCATTGCAAGAAAATTGTAGTAAACAATTTTTTTATTTACTTATACGACTGTTGTAACAATTGTTTAATATGCTAGAAGAAAAATAAATATCATAAACAATATCTCTAAATGTATGCCAATTTCTTCAAATGCCTCATTGTTCTATAAATGTATGTTACAGTATTAAAAGTTTGGTTTCTATAGAGTGCATCTAGAGAGATTTGACTGTAGTACTCAATATAATTAGTTTCTATGTAAAATTTATAGCTTATTAATCTTTATATACGTAATTAAGTGTAGGCACTTGATCTTTTCATCACAAAATAAGCGGTTGAATCAAATCTCGTATCGATGCTATATATACTGTAAATCTAATTTAAATCGGTGTGCTTACATAGACAGTTTTGGCGGACATGATATGAGTTTCATAAAATGAGGGCTCGAAGTGCTGCTATAGCCTCCTGATCCATGATTTATAATTGATCATGGATCAAGTCCACAGCAGCTGAGTGACTCTCAGATCATGTCTACAAATAAAAGATCTATTCTCTTTTCATCGTTATGTAGAGTTTTCTTAACATTTCATTTCAACCTTTGCAAAAATGTGAAATTATATGCCGACGAAGAATAAGAAATCCTGAAATTGTTATGTCATAATAAAAATCTATTCCCATATGATTAAGATATTAAATAAACAAAAGAACTTTTAGATCGAATAATAATGAAAAAATAAAAAAAGTTTTTTATTTGGATATGAAAATTTTTATTGTTTCTATTATAAAAATTTTTTGAGGCAGGAAATTTTTGACAAATTGAAATTATATCAGAATCTAGAGATTTTTGCTCCATTCAATTTTCATTTTCACAGCGAAAAATTGAATCAGATAAATAGATCAGAAAATCTTTGCCTGCATAGTACTGTAAGAAGAGAGTTATGAAGAAATAGGGTATTATGACAATTATCGCGGTTTGCAAAATGATGTATCTTTTGATCAAATTTTGCAGACACATACAATCACTTGATTGTCGATCGATTGTGCGATTATAATTTCATTTTCTTAAAAAAAGTTCAATACAAATAAAATATTTTTATAATTTATGACTTTCTTATATCCATATCCTCAAAATAATACCTGCAACTTCGTAAAATCGCACAGTCAGACAACAATCAGTGATCGAATGTGTTAGCTACAATCTGCAAATTTTAATAAAGTACATCATTTTGCAAACCGCGATAAATAAATTAAATAAATATAGAGACATCTCATGGTCCAGTGTTCGAACTTGACAAATTTTTATATTATTCAATTACTCCGTCGTATACATCCGTCGTATACAGTGCTCATGATCACTAAAACTTGAAATATACCAATTCGTCAAAATACCCCTACCAACCTAATATATTAAATGTGCTTTTTACTGTATCATGTGAGAGAGTAACATGAAACATGGTATGGTCAATATGATTATCTTGTGCAAATGATATATCATATCATTGGTCTGGATAATAGAAAAATGTTATAGCCATTATCACATAAGTCGATATTAACATTACACCTTCCAACCAATTTGATCTCCCATCTAAAAATATACAGTAAATTAATGATAAAGATTAGGTATTTAAATGCTGTATTTACAATATAATGAAACAATACTTACCCTATTTAAAATATTTTAAGTATTTCATTTCGTAAATTTTAAAATTTTTTTAAGAAAAAAAAAAAAACAACTTAAAGGAAACGCACCTGAAATAAGTAATTTCTAAGCATAATTGCAACAACTAAACAAATAGTTTCGAATATTGTAAAAGACAGAGACATTTTCTTATTAATAATCCATCCCAAAATCACCAATAATGGGGTAATAATTAGCGCGGTTTGCTATATTTATTTTGAAGTAAAAAAAAAAAAAATTTAAAGAATAATAATAAGAATGAAACATTAATTATAATTGCTGTATATCACGCAACTTACAATTGAGCTTCTAACCGAAATAACCATAATTGCAAACCTTTTATTTGCACATTTATCATCGTGATTATTACGTTCAATATAAGTGGGGGAAATATACTATTAAAGTTTAAACATGTAAATACTTATAGAAAAAAACAACATTTTGATGATAAAATTAACATTTTAATACCTTATCACAATGACCAACTATGGGTAGTAAAATCAATCCAATAAAGGTTTGACTTATTTTATGGGATGCAACAATTCCTTCGATTGATTTTATGAGAAATTGTGCTAAAAAAACAATATTCACAATCATTATAGCAAATAATGTTAATGACATTATCACGTCTATATTATCTTTCTTTTCATGGAATCTAGCAAATAGTTTTTTATGGGTTTTTATCTATATATAAATAAATAGATTATAAGTATGTGAATGCAGAGTACGACGATGAAATAAAATCTTTATATTACCCTAAAACATAAATAAAGTACAGATATAACTAATAACACAATTGATGTTCCATAACTTATATGCATGACTTCATCAGCACTTTTGTCGACAAAAAAACCGAATGCAGCAGGTAAAACCAGAGAAATACACGCTAATGTCAACACACTAGATGTCATTTGCGCAACTGTCGTACCTTTCGAACCACCAAAGTCGTTAAACTCTTCTTCAAGCTTATTTTTTTCAAGAATTTTGATCCCTCCAACGAGAAAACAAAATCCTAATATAAGTAGAGTATGAGAGAGTATAGACCCTAGCAATGCTGCTTGGACAACACGAATTTTTCCATTCACTAATGCAACTATAGTTATTATTAACTCTACCAAATTGTTAAACGCTACATCTAGTATGTCTTCTAGAGTCTTTATTAAAATATTAATATTAATATTAGAATAATTAAAATAATCATTATCATGTCGTTTAATTAACAATACCTCATTAAAACTATTTAAATGATGTGAAAGTTCATTGTTCGCAAATCTCAGCAGTTTAGCTGATGATATAATTGCCAGAAAGTTCATTATAAAAATTAATGTGTCATTCGAGCTAAGAAAGTTCACAATGTACCCCACAGGAACGAAAATCAAAAATATATAAAATATATCAGTTTTTTTAAAAGATAACTTTTGACTTCTTTCAGTCGGTTGACTCATTTTTGTTATCTTTTCAAAATCGATTTTGCGTTTTCTCAGTATTTATAGTTACGTAACCTTGCAGTTAAATTTTTCCAGAATAGGATTGATATCATCAATGAATTTTTCTTTTTTTGAGTTTTAAGGATCACAGGTTTTGTTGTGTACTGTATTGTATCAACAAATCTATAATTGAAGCAGAACGAAGTTACCTGTTAGAATTGATAAAATGAGAAAATCAAAATTTTCAATTTAGTACAATTAAAGGATAATATTAACGTTAACTTATAGAATATGAAAACCTTAGATCATCATCGAACTCATTGAATAAATATTTTATTCGCTGATATGGTGTTTTAAAATTATGTAATTTCGTATATTTATTATATTTAAAGCAAGCTATTTTTAAAAAAAAACTTTATTTTCAATAAAGTTTCAAGTGCAATTATAGTTCTCCGGGAGACCGCAATCACATGATTCGCTACTGTGCCTAATCAGAATTAACCGCAGCATATTGTTTTGCTACCAGTTATTATGGGCAGGGTGTTGCAAAAAGGGAGCAATTGATTTTACATAAATCAATTTAGAATAAGGGTTGAGAGTTATATGTAAGAACTAATTTAAACCACTCGATTCGAACGTTTTGTAAAAAATTATGTGGCGCTTTGAATTTTTGGTTGTCTCTGGAGAATTTTTCTTAATATGATATAATATGTACAAACTTTTATCGTTTAATATTCGTAATCAGATGTCGATCATGGGATTTATAATTAAAGTTAATTAGCATTAAGGTTAGGGTCAGTCAGAAATAACGATAAGGTGATGTTAATCACAAAATATTCTAACATCATTGAATTAAATCCTAAATACGGCTTATTTGAAACCGGACGGTGAAGCCATTTACGTACATAAAGGGCAATTTCTGACGATAATATTATTAATAGTGCGTACGGCATTTCATTTCACTGTTACTGAATCATACAGGATTTTTCTGTATAATTAAAAACAGTAATTTTGAAAAAATTAAAGTTCAGCTATCTAGAAATCATTATGAAAAAAATTTAGCTGAATATGAGTCAATCGACTGTAATTTAACATTTATTGGACTGAAAATTATTCGTCGTGAGTTTCATCAAAGGTTTAGTCAGAATAAGAAATCTTTAATCATTGCAGGAAATGGTTTCGTATTGTCAGGCATTATTAATTATAGCTAGGGAGGTTTAGGTTCTGTTTTGGTTCCGGAACCTTTAGGTTCCAATTTATAAACTTAAAAACCTGGTTTTTGTAAACCAAGTTCCAGAGCCTGGTTCCAGAATCTGGTTTTGATGTAGAAACTGATTTGATAGCGTTTATAAATCCGTTCAGTTCATCTTTCGGTATTAAAAATCAGCCTAAGAATTTAATATACTTAGAATATACTATATTTAGTTTTTGGTTAATCTGCAAAATCGTTTGACGTCAGATTTAAAGAGTATTCAAATTTTTGTTTGATTGTACTATATTTATTATTAAATAAAGACAAACATGAGAAAGCAGAATACCCGACTCTACTTTGCAGTTATATAAATTGTATAAACCTAGATTTCAAAATTGGAACCTGGTTTTTAAGAACTTTACCAATCCTAATATCATTGGAACTTTGATCTGATCAATTCATCTGCTACAACCTCAATTAATTGAGATCGAATGAAAATTCGGTATACGCTGTAGAATTGTGGCACAAATCATTGTTATAATATACATCAGTAAATATAAGATGTTCTTTGTGATGCTCACTAATGATAAATATGGAAAGCGGACAAACATTCATGACAGACATAGTATAGATAAACTGAATCAAACACCACCCAAAATCATTTACGAATCGGTATTTAAATTAAATATTCCGACAATTTATTCCGACAATTTATTCCGACAATTTTATTTTAACTTTATAACTACATTTGCATAATATCCATAAATGCTTCTATAAATGCACGTTACAATATAAAAGTTTGATCCCTATAAAGTGCATCTAAGAGATTTGACTGTGGTACTCAACATATCGTAAATTCTCAAAATAGTGCGTATGGGTTATGGCCCGAATTAAGCTTAATTTAGGCCAAATTGCCCTTGAGTGTTAGAGAATTTACAGTTATCGGTTTTTTTTTTATAATGAACGCAAAAATATTTTTTAACAGTAAAATTTATAGTTTATTGATTCTTATATAAATAATTTTTTTTGTATTATATATAGGCACTTGACCTTGTCTAAATCTTTAGATCACGAAAGAAGTTGTTGAATCAAATTTCGTATTAATGCTATATTAATCAGTGTTTACATAGACGATTTTGGTGGACATAATATGAGGGTTTTATAAATGAGGGCTTCGAAGATGCTTGCTATAGCCCCCTGAACCATGACTTAGATACCGCATATAATTGACGATGGACCGAGTTCACAGCAGTCAAGCGATTCTCAAGCCATGTCTACAAATAAAGATCGATTCTCTTTTCATCGCCATGATTAACATCTTTCTCATATCAACCTCTGAAATTATATGCCGATTGAGAATAAGAAATTTTACATAATAATGAAAATCTATTCCCATATGATTAAGATAAATAAATAAAAGGAATTTGATTGAATAATAATGAAAAGTAAAATGTTTTTTTATTTTTGTATGAAAAATTTTTTGTTCTATTATAAAAATTTTTTCGTTCTATATAAAAATTATTTTCGAGGCAGAAATTTTTGACAAGTTGAGATTACTTCAAGATCTAGGCATTTTAGCACCATTAAATTTTCATTTATCACATTGAGAAAAGTCAAATCAGGTCACTAGATCAGAAATATCTTAGTTTGAATAGTGTTTGTAAAAAGGAACTATGAAGAAATATGGGTATCATGACAAATTAATAAATTAAAATTAATTAAATTAAATTGAGACATCTCACGGTCCGGTGTTCGAATTTGAGATATTTTTATATTATTCAATTCTTCCCACCGTAAACAGTGCTCATCTGATCATTAGATCTCGAAACGTCAAAATATCCCTACCAATAATGTACTTTTTAGTTTTCTTGTTCGAGAGTAATATGAAACGTGAGATAGATAATGAGACTATTTTGTGTACGGGATGTATCATGTCACTGGTCTGGATAAAAGAAGAATGCTACAGCTATTATTAAATAAGTCGCTAATAACAATGCACCTTCTAACCAATTAGATTTCCCATCTACAAAATATAATTTATTAGTAAAGATAAGTAAGGTATTAAAGCGATCTATTGACAATATAATAAAACAATACATACCCTATGTTAAATGAACATTTTAATAAAATAGTTTCTTTACGTTAATTTTAAAGTTTTTTTTTTAAAAAAAAAAATAAAATTCATATAAAGGAAACGCACCTGAACCAAATAATTTTTGAGTATAACTGCAATAAATAAACAAATAGTTTCAAACGGTAAAAAAGCCAGAGACATAGGTTGATTGATAATCCATCCCAAAATCACCAAGAGTGGAGTAATAAATAACGCGGTTTGCTATATTTATTGTGAAAAAAAAAATATTAAAAAAAAAAAAACAAACATTGCATGTAATTGTTATATAATCACGCAACTTACAGTTGAACTTCCAACCGAAATAATAATAGCAGCATTCATTTTGTTTTCACGCGCAGTTTTAAGAGAAGCCACAAACTTTTATAATATAGATAAATTTAAACATGTAAATACCTTATACAGTAAAAAGAGTAACATTTGATGAAAAGTTAACATTCTTAATACCTTAGCACCATGACCAACCATAGGTAGTAAAATCAACCCAATAAAAGTTCTGCTTATTTCATGAGACTCAACAATTCCTTCAATTGATTTTATGAGAAAATCCGCTAAAAAACCAATAATCGTTGTCATTATAATTAGCAAAGATAATGACGCTATAATGCTTATAGGCTTTTTCTTTATTGATTCATTTTTTCGTTCTCCACTTGTTTGTATTCCGTTTTCTTCATTTTCAAGACTTTGTTCTCGGTTTTCTTCGTTTTCAAAATTTTGTTCTATGTTATTTTCGTATATTTGTTCTCCGATTTCTTCGCTTTCAATTTCTTCGATTTCATGCTCAACTTGTTCAAATAATCGTTTATGAGTTTTTAACTATACACAAATAAAAAAAAAAAAAATACTGTAAATTACAAAACCGTGTGAATGAAGAGTGTGATGGTGAAATAAAATTTCATATTTTACCTTAAACCATAAATAGAGTCCATATATAATCAATAACACTATTGAAGTTCCATAACTCATATACAGGATCCTTTTATCAACTGTATCGGAGGAAACATTGGACAAATTTCCATTGATAAGAAGACTGAATGCGGCAGGTATAACTAGAGAAATGCACGCTAATGTCATTACACTAGAACTCATTTGTGCGGCAGTTGAATCAAATTCTTGTTCAAGCTTATTTTCTTTAATAAGATATTCGATTCCTCCAACGAAAAAACATGATCCTAATACAAGTAGAAGATGAGAGAATATAGACCCTAGAACTGCTGCTTGGACAACACGAATTTGACCATTAACCAACGCAATTATGGTTACTATTAATTCTACCACATTGTAAAATGATATATACAATAGGCTTGCTACAGTCTTTATTAAAATATTAATATTAGAATAATGAAAAGGTAGTGATTATTATTGTGTCGTTTAATAAAATAGTACCTCACCGAAATGGTGCGAAAATTCTATAGCTGCAAACTTTAGCAATTTAGCTGATGGTATAATTGCTAAAAAGTTCATTACAAAAATTAGTATGACATTTGTGGTAAGGTAATTTACTATAAAACCTACAGGTACGAGAAGTAAAAATATATTAGATCTAGAAGATTTAATGATTTTTTTAATAGTTTCTTTTAAAGTTAATTCTTTGGATTTTCGAATAGGTTGATTCATTTTCGTTACCTTGGAAAAGTCGATTTTTGCGACCTCTACGTATTTATTTATACGCATACATTTACTATTATTAATTTT